ATTACTGCCACTAGCGACATCAGATAGAGTCAGGGTCAGCAAGCACCCCTCCCAGCCAGGGTCAGCTAGCATTGCCCGCACACTATAGGTCGCTGATCACCCCCATTACTAGTATAGGGTTTGTACGGATCAAGATATTGATACTAGTGTCTGCTTAGTATAGTGTCCCCAAAAATGCAGTGTTTTGCAGGATCAGCCTCGTTCACTGTTAGCACTAGCGTTTAGCCCTTCAGCTATTGTACCAATTGATTGTGGACCAAGGCAATTTATACACACAACAATAATGGCCGCCCACCCAAATTCAGCTCTTGCCAGACAAATCTCATGGAAACCTATCACGGTTTCTGAATTTAAAACTTTTTTGGGCCTAACCCTGAACATGGGCATTACAAAAAAGAATGAATTGCCCATGTTCTTGCTGTTACATATATGCCCAACATGGACCAGAAATGTACTGGTACGTCGCTGGAGTTTGAGTGGTTAAACCGGGATGATGCCTGCAGCTACAGGCATCATCCTGATATAATTTTTTTCAGTTGGTGGTCGGCTTTCATGTAAAAGCAATCCTAGTGGCCAATTAGCTTCTGAATTGTTTTTAAGAGCAGCGAGAAGGGACATCACCCCTGCTGCCTTCCACAGTTATCTTGGGCTCTCTATTAATTAATCCATGAATGCAGCCAGCAGTTCCACTGGCGGACTATAGAGTTGATCAGAGACCAGAATGGCTCCAAGCAGCTCTATAGTCTAAGAAATCTGAAGCTACGAGCATTTCATCACTTCAGTTTTGCAGGATATATACAGCGCCATTTGTAAACTGGGAAAGCATCTGATCACACTGATCTTGGTGAAATCAAATGATGTAAGGGCAGAGGAGATATCTAGAGCCTAATAGGACCAAGATTTCTAAAAAAAAAAAAAAAAAAAAAAAAAAAAAAAAAAAAGAATACCTGTCAATGCCTACTGCAGTCAGAGAGGATAAATTACATTCAATAAATAGCAATAAAAGTGATTTCACAAAAAAAAAAAACATAGGGACAGTGTAAAAATAATATTTAAAAAAAAAAAAAAAAAAAAAATACAAAAAACACCTTCGCCCCCCCCCCTCACGTGTACAAGCATTGACCCCGTGTCGGTATGTAAACAGCTTGTGAGGTACTGCCGTGAACGTCAGATTAAAAGCAGTAATTCTAGCACTAGACCTCCTGTGTTAATATAAATTGGTGACCTGTAAAGGCTTTTAAAGCATCGCCTATCTCGATAATAAAAATGTATGTACTTTGTTGCCATTGTATGGGTATGCACAATTTTAAAGCATGTCATGTTTTGTATCTATTTACTCGGCGTAATATCATCTTTTAAATTTTATCAAACAATTGGGCAATATATTGTGTTTTTGTACATTAAAATTCTAAAAAGTTTATTTTTCCCAAATGATTTGGGTTTGAAAAATCACTGCGCAAATAAGGTGTAAAGTAAAAAATTTGAACACCCACAGTTTTATTCTTTAGGGCCTCTGCTTTAAAAAAATATATAATGTTTGGGGTTTCAAAGTAATTTTCTAGAAAAAAAAGTTTTTTCATGTGAAGAAAAGTGTCAGAAAAGGCTTTGTCCTCAAGAGTGGGTGATGTGTGTCATAAGATTCTAATGTTGGCCCTGAAATGCCAGGATAGCAGAAGCGACCACTCCAAACGGCCCCCTTTTAGAAAGCAGACACTCCAAGGTATTTGTTAAGAGGCATGGTGAGTATTTTGCAGATCTCATTTGTTGCCACATGTTTTTGGAAAACTAACAAAGAACACAAAAATGTATTTTTTCTTTTCTTTTTCAAAACGCTTTTGTGACGGGAGTGACTTCGGGGGGGTGGGGGGATCCCTGTCTCAGCTCCCCATATCCCTATTATGTGTAAGTCACCCTGTGCCTCTTAGGGGTACAGGGTGGATTGTCCTGATATTGTGTAGACATGTATAGGTGGGGGTTGGTCATCATTTACTGCCATGTGGTGCATCCCATTGTTCTACTGTGTGTCTTGTTTGGGAGCAAACTATTATGGGATGTATGTGTCTATGTGTATTGGCTTGGTAGGGGGTGTTTCCGGCAGCCCTTCCCCTGATGGGGTTGTCTGCTGATGTGTCTCTCCTTGCTAGATTTAGTTTGCCCCGCCCTGTGTCCCTATGCAGGGAGGTGGGTTGTTCCCTTGAATGTGTATATAAATCTTGTATCTATGTTAAAATAAAGCAGTCTATCTCCTGGAATTGTTCCAAGTTTGTTGCTATCTACTCTTGTATGGTCAGCGGTGTGTCCGTGGATCTGTGTTTGGACAGGGAAGCGGGAGTCTAACGGAAATACCCTAGTGCAGTCGGGGTCCGGTTCTGTTACAGCTGTGACAAAAATTATATCAGTAAAATACTCACCATGCCTTTTATCAAATTCCTTGGGGTGTCTACTTTCCAAAAAGGGGTCATTTGGGGGTGGGGGGTGAGCGTGTTTGTACTATCCTGGCATTTTAGAGCCTCCGAAACTGTGATAGGTAGTGGGCAAGTGATATGAGGAAATATGCCCTTTGAAAACCTGGAGGTGGTCATTGGATTTTGGGGTCCTGTATGTAGCTAGGCTGCCAAAAAGTCTCTCATATGTGGTATCCCCATGCTTGGGAGAAGTAGAAGAATGTGTTTTGGGGTGTTATTCCACATATACCCGTGGCATGCATGAGCAATATATCATTTGACAACTTAGAAGGAAAAAAAAAAAAAAGTAATTTTCGAAACATTTGTGGCAAAAAATAAACTGTTCCATGCACTCAACATGACTCTCTGCAAAATACTTGGGGTATCTACTTTCCAAAAAGGGGTCCCTTGGAGGGGGGTGTTGTACTGCCCTGGTATTTTAGCACCTCAAAAAATATGATAGGCGGTCGGAAAGTAAAAGCTACGTAAATTCCAATATATATACCATAGTTTGTAGACACTATTACTTTCACGCAAACCAATTAATATACATGTATCAGGATTTTTTACAAAAGACATGTAGCAGAATACATTTTAGCCTAAATTTATGACTAATTTTAAGTTTATTGGATATTCTTTATAACCAGAAGTGGAAAATATTGTTTTCTTTTTCAACAATTTTTTTGTTTATAGAGCAAAAAGTAAAAAAACCGCAGAGGTGATCAAATACCAACCAAAAGAAAGCTCTATTTGCGTGAAAAAAAAGGACATAAATTTATTTTGGGTACAGCATTGCATGACCATTTGATATGTTTTCTATTTTCTGTTGTGACTAAAATATGGGTTTATGAGATTTGCAAATCGTATTCTGTTTTCATGTAGACTTTACACAGCGTCCCAACTTTTTTGGAATTGGGGTATTTACAAAATATTGTTTGCAGTACAGTATATGTGCTGCCAATATACTGTGTTGAGATGTCATGTGTGACATACAGTGACTTGAAAAAGTATTCTTACCCCTTGAAATTTTCCACAATTTGTCATATTACAACCAAAAAACGTAAATGTATGTTATTGGGATTTTATGTGATAGACCAACACAAAGTGTCACATAAATGTGAAGTGGAAGGAAAATGATAAATGGTTTCAAAATGCTTTACAAATAAATAATTCAAAAGTGTAGCACGCATTTGTATTCAGTTCCCTTAAGTAAATACTTTGTAGAACCACCTTTTGCTGCAATTACAGCTACAAGTCTTTCTGGGTATGTCTCTACCAGCTTTGCACATCTAGAAAGTGAAATTTTTGCAAATTCTTCTTTGCAAAATAGCTCAAGCTCTGTCAGATTGGATAGAGAGCATCTGTGAACAGCAGTTTTCAAATCTTGCCACAGTTTCTCAATTGGATTTAGGTCTGGACTTTGACTGGGCCACTCTAACATGAATATGCTTTGATCTAAACCATATCACTGTAGCTCTGGCTGTATGTTTAGGGTCATTGTCCTGCTGGAAGGTGAACCTCTGCCCCAGTCTCAAATCTTTTGCAGACTAACAAATTTTCTTCTAAGATTGCCCTGTATTTGGCTCCATCCATCTTCCCATCAACTCTGACCAGTTCCCCTGACCCTGCTGCAGAAAAGCATTCCCACATGATGCTGCCACCACCATGTTTCATGGTGGGGATGGTGTGTTCAGGGTGACGTGCAGTGTTTTCTGCCACACATAACGTTCTGCTTTTAAGACAAAAAGTTAAATTTTGGTCTCATCTAACCAGAGCACCTACTTCCACGTTTACTGTGTCCCCCACATGGCTTCTCGCAAACTGAAAACGGGGCTACTTATGGCTTTCTTTCAACAATAGCTCTTCACTCTTCCACTCTTGTCAGATTTGTGGAGTGCATGACTAATAGTTGTCTTGTGGACAGATTTTCCCACCTGAGCATCTCTGCAGCTCCTCCAGAGTTACCATGGCTGTCTTGGCTGCTTTTTTTTTTTATTAACGCTCTCCCTGCCCAGCCTGTCAGTTTAGGTGGGCCGCCATGTCTTGGTAGGTTTGCAGTTGTGCCATACTCTTTCCATTTTTGGATGATGGATTGAACAGTGCTCTGTGAGATGTTCAAAGCTTGGGATATTTTTTTATAACCTAAATCTGCTTTAAACTTCTCCACACCTTTATCCCAGACCTGTCTGGTGTGTTCTTTGGCCTTCATGATGCTGTTTGTTCACCAATTTTCTCGAACAAACCTCTGAGGGCTTCACAGAGCAGCTGTATTTATACTAAATTACACACAGGTGGACTATTTACTACTTAGGTGACTTCTGAAGGAAGTCGCACTTTTCAGATATTTGTAAAAAATTTTGAACAGCAATTATCATTTTTCCTCCACTTCACAATTATGTGCCACTTTGTGTTGGTCTATCACATAAAGTCCAAAAAAAAATACATTTTTGTTTTAGGTTGTTGCATGACAAAATGTGGAAAATGTCAAGGGGTATGAATACTTTTGCAAGGCACTGTAACTATCTGGGGGAGAGAGAAGTCAAAAATAAGACATACCTTCAAATTAAGACCAAGCTTTTTATCTGTTAGAAGGTTTATGTACGACTTAAATACACTGCTGAATGCTGGGTGGCTTGTATCGAAAGAAACAGAAGACTCAATCTGAGGGAAAAAATAGAAAAAGATTATACTGTACATACATTTCTACTAAAAATACAAGACCGTCCAGACAAAAACTTGTATAACCCAACATTTTTTTTTTTATTTTAACTTTTGGAGTGGATAAAGCTTAGGGACCCATCAACATGTTTTACTGCTGGCTCTTCCTCAGTTGGGGAGGTTTCCACTCACTGATTCCCTGTCCGGGGTATGGATGTCAAAAGAAAAGAAAATGAGGGGAAGAAGCAAGCATAAAAATTGTAATCTTTTAACACTTCATTCACTTTTATTGCACAAATTAACTGATATCCTAAACTAAACCCCCCCCCAAATAATTTGTCTGTGAGCATCCTGCAATGACATGTCTGTTACAACCACGGACAGTCAATATAGGAGGAGAATTTATCAAAGAGTTCTTGCTCCTGGGAAAATTGGGTGGTCAGTTATGCTCCATAACTAAAATATTTTTATGAATATATTCTTACCAATGAATAAAGATATAAGACGCTACAAAGATAAAACTGCACTGATACTGAAACTCAGTTATCCGGAGGTTTTACAAACCCAATCAGAGCCAAATCGTTAAAAATAAGTTCTGGTGATCTTTTGAAGGTCAATAGGCAGGGGATTGTCAAAAACAAATAGCACAGAAAAGAGAGGGGGGGGGGGGGGGGGGGGGGGGGGGGGGAGATACCCTGGGGGTCATATACCAATGCAAAAAAAATTGAATTTACTTTGGCACATAGGAGTGATTTTAATAATGCTTCAAGCGAAACATTAAGAATGCAAATTTCCTTTCAGAATATGCTTGAGGGATGCCCTGAATCTGCCTGTGAATTGGCATGTCTATATGATGTATACAATCTTCTAAAGCAAAAGTAACAATTAGAGAACAAATGCTGTGTAAATTGCTGGTAAATTACAACTACTGGCTGCTTTGCTTTTGTAACTAAACAGCCAGAGATTACCATAACTTACAACAGACCTTTAGCTGACCTTTATACCAGGCCACATTCCCTCAACATGGGGAGGGTACCTTGACGGGGAGGGTACCTTGACGGGGGGGGGGGGGGGGGGTCACCAAGGCAAAACACCATGTTTCCATGTTAAATGAGGATAAGCGACTCTTCCCCCCCCCCCCCCCCAAACCCTGGCCTAGTGGTTGTGAGGGTCTGCTAGTGGCAGGCTAACTGGAATCTGAAATAACCAGTTAAAATAAGGAGAGCCCCCAGATACCCAGCCACCTACAAGAATGTTTTTTTTTCTTATTAATGAGAAGGGGTGCTCAAAACACACACAAACTTTGACAAGTTTTTTATTAAATGTTCAAGAAAATCCATTGTCAAACATGTCATCCAGAGATGTAAAGCCATGTCAATCACAATGAAAAACACCCACCGCAAGAAAAAAATACCACAACCATCCACTCTTGAGAAGTGCTCACCATGATTCACAGGTGAATGTAAACCAAGAATCATGGTATCCCCAGTTGACAGCAAAATGGAGGGCAGGGAATAGCCACAGGTTATTAGGACTCTTGCAGCCTCTGGCTCCCTAACAATCAGCCTGAGCAAAAATCATTGATTTTAACAGCAATAGTACTACAGCTGCTAAATGTACCTCCTTATGCTGCAACAGAGGTTGGGTGAGCAGGTGAACACCCCATTTAGGTCAGACCTTCATCAAACGCCAAACAGGCAAACTTCAGACAGAATACAGGTTAGTTCCAAACTCAAAGTTCATCCCTGTTGGTGATATCTCAGTGGATCATGAACAGAGGAGTTTGAGAATGTACTAAAAAGTATTATAAACAGAAGCACGCCTGTTGGAATTAAACAGCTAATAAGTAATTACTACACATTATGGAAAAACAAAATGTACCTGTAGTACTTTTGCAAGTAATGTCAGCACTGCCATTTTGCTTTCAGGTGATGAATCTTTGTCCCACCAACTCTCTAGTTTCAGCCAGTTTTGCAGTACAGCATTTACCAAAGCAATACCTTGTTGTTTTCGGATTGTACGCTGCTTAAAACTTTGATCAAGCATTCCATTCAAGATGGTACTGACCTTGAAAAGAAACAAAAAGAGGGCATTTAATTCTCAGTCCTGACAATATATTATTCTATGGCCAGGATTTGAACATAACATATATATGCTGTGACAGGGAAGGGATGCAAGCATGGGAAGTCTTAGGAGCATCTATAAGACATATGAGAATAATGACATAGTTTCAGCATCTCCCAGGAATTAAAGTGGTTGAAAACTCAAAGGGTTTTTTTTTAACCTTTATACATCTAGTGGATCACAGATGTATTGGAACCTGTCACCTAAAAATTATCACATAGGGGACTTTGTGCCCCCTATGTGATGAAAAAAAGAGTTAAGTGAATTGGGGTTTTTTTTAATTGAAAGAAAAAAAAAGAAAAAAGAAAAAAATAAAGTTACAGCCAAGCAAATAACATCTCCCCCCCCCCCCCACCTATAGATAGGTACGGAGGTTGTTGCCATTTCATAGGTGCACACAAATTTAAAGTTTAGCATGTTGGGTATTTACTCGGAGCAACCTCATCTTTTATATTTTTCCAAAATTTGGGTAATTTATTGCATTTTGTTTGCCCTAAAATTCACTTTAGCGTGTTTTTTTACTGAAATTTTGGGTTTCCTAGAACTTCGCTGTAATACCCAATGACATACAAAATTGGAACTACCACTATTTTATTCTCTAGGGGTCTGCTTTCAGAAAATATATGTTTCAGAGGTTTGTGTAATCTCCAGGCCTGAAATAATTTCTCAAACGTGTGCAAAAAAAAAAATAGCAAAAACCAGCGAAAGGGTTAAGTAAAAATACCTTCCAATACTTTTCTCCTCCTCTCATCAGTAAACCCGTACCTTGCTCCAGTACTGTCCTGGCTGCAGTGCCGCTACTCTCTTGGTCTCTGGCCTCACAGGAGATTCAGAGTAGAGGGAGCCATAGGCTCTTGCTGCTGTCAGTCAGATCCTGTGAGGAGGGAGCAGGAGGTGTAGCAAAGCTGCACTGTGTGTGTCGAATGATGCATGCAGCCAGGCTCAGAAGCGCACCCACACGCATGCCCCCATAGCACAAGGCTTGCTAAGGAGCCACCTGAAAAAAGAAGGGGCAGTGGTGGTGGGAAACTCCAGAAAAGGAGGTAAGGGACTGCTCTGTGTAATGTAATTGTACAGATAAGGTAGGAATAACATATTATTTTAACAACAAAAAAAAAAAACCTTTGCTATCACTTTAAAACAATCAGTCTTGTGAGGGCTGACCTTTTTAAATGAAAAATGTAATGAGAAATACAGAGGCTGACACTGTTGACCTTAATCCTAACCCCTTTTCTACATAACCCCTTTCACTGAATCCTAAGCACCCAGAGCAATTTTAGCAGTGGTAGTATGTGTCAGTAAATGTGACTATACTGTAACTCTACATTGTATTCCTAGCACTCTACTGCAACATTCTAATAGTAAAAAGTATTGTGGGATATTGCAGTCATATAGCTGCCTCTGACATCAGTATGCCACTACACCACTACATAAAACTAAAGTGACATTCATCATACTGGCTTTTTCACACCTGTTGTGCACTGCATTAAGACCACCCCACCCCTGAGCACCAAAAACCGGACCTGTCCTGACCCTTTCTCGGAATGAAACGTACATTAGTGAGTTACTGCACATTGCAGTGCATTGCAAAACAAATTTGATGGCTTAGTGCATCAAGGTGCTATTCAAAATGAACGGCACTCCAACACACAGACATACATGGTGCGATAAAATGCACTGCTGTAATGCAAATATTACTGTAATGCATGGGTGTGAACACAATCAAGGAGCAAACTTGTATTACAATACGGGCCCATCTATTAATCCTGATTCAGACCTACAGTACTTAGCTCTGACATGATGAAAAAGTCAAATGGCCAAATATGGGAATAATGTGGCCCATATCTGATACCAATGCTAACTCCTGGTTTTAGATATAAGATGGAAATAATGAAAGAGGTGTAAGAACAACAGAATCAGATTATACTACCATTTTAGGGTTTTCTGTAGAAGATTTCAGCACATGTGCCACTACAGTGTTCAGATTTTTCAAAAGCTCAGTGTTGATGGTTTCAGAAAATAAGCTGTAGAAATATTCTCCATGAGAAAAGTTAATGAAACTTCTTTGTGAACTTCCTGATAAAGGCACTGACAGCACCATTGTGTTTAGTAGCAGGCTTATAAGTTCTTCACTCTGAAAGGGCAGGAAGTATTGTTTATACAGCGGGAAAAGTATTAATTAACTTCTATTTTATTATCATTAAATTATTTAAGATATGATCTACAATTCATTTCTTTTTCTAAATTAAATTAAAAAAACAAACAATCACTCCCAGCTTCTGAGGGTGGACAGTATCAATCACAGATCCTCTATATGATTCATAACACAAAAAAAGGTGCAGAAAATACCCTGCAGTTTTCTTTACTTTAATTGACAGGTACAGCACTGTATATATTACTTTAGCCTTTACAATACGTATATATAACAAAACTAATATGTAATTTACATACTTTAATTTTTTAGCAGTTAGATTTCAATATGGGTCATCTTTGAGCATCAGTATCAAATGCATTATTCTAAATTTCAATAGTCCAAACTGAAAGTATAATATTCTACAATTAAAGTCTTTTGCAGAGTTACCTGTTCACTAAAACTAAAAGCCAGTTGTAGAATACCCTCAGCAAGACGTTTACTGCTGATATCTAGGCACGGAAGAGACTTTCTCTCATCACCAGGAGCAATACCTTTATACACAACCATCAGAAGTTTAGATCCAATAGAAAAGCTGAGCTTTGTAACCTAGAAAGAATAGTAATGACAATAAATTATACATACGAAACTCGTGAAAGCCAGATACAACCACTTGCATATTCTTTTCAACAAATTTCCTGAACCCCAAAAACAGAAGTTGTTTTCAGAGAGTTGCCAACTGATACCAAGTCTATGAAACAGTGGAACAGTTTACAAAGCTAGTGTATACATACATAATACCTGCCTCCAGCCAATTGCCAGGGTCTAGAAATCAGCACCTCAGTAATAAAACCTGCATTCGGTGGGTAAATTATCATAAAGAACCATATTACCTACAGGGATTAGGGTATGGAGAGACCAAAACAGTGAAAAAGACTTTACAGAGCAGTTGGATATTTAGGCACAATCCAGCCACTTCCAGGGTAAAAATTGTTTACAGCTCTGCAGACTATCCATAAACCTAAACATTCTCTCTAGTCTGCTGAGGGCTTAAGTTTACATAAAGTGGAAGGGATCAGGAAAAATGTGTCAAAATACTCCCAGCTTCTGAGGGTGGACAGTATCAATCACAGATAAGCAGTTACCATAAAGGCATCACTCTATTATTGGTGTGTTCCACCAAAGAAAATGAACCCCACAAATAGCTGCAGTGCTAAGTAACATCATAAGAAAGGCTTTCTTATACAGGGATGTTGAATTTATACAGCCCAATGCCCGAGACATGTAATTCTGGGCGCCGGGCAGGTAGTTTTTTTTTTTATCCTTCAACCCTGCTTTGTGCAAGCAGCAGGGCTCACTGATTGCTTCCACACAGTGCCAGCCTCCGCTAACTCCCCCCCCCCCGCATGAACCGCCCACTGTCTCCCAGGCTCCGCTTTCCCATCTGCGGGCCCGGGACCGGCTCACTGCCGTTGACTAGAGAGAAGGGAGGAGATGGACACATCCACTCCTCTCCCCTTCTTGTCCTGACCCTTAGGTGACATTATGATGTCACTTTCAGGTCCCCATTCAAAGATTTCTCAGTCATCGAGGCCGGGAAAGAATGTAATGCAGTGCGATGTGCACTGCATTACAATCAAGGAAGGAATCCAGGGTGTTTTAGACCCTGGATGTCTCAATAAAGGGAACCTGTCACCAAAAATCATCACATAGGGAACTTTGACCCCCTATGTGATGAAAAAAAAAACGAGTTTTTTAACGTGCAGAAAACGCAATACGGCTCTGGCAGCGAAAAGGATAAAGGATAAGCACTCCCCTTTCCTGACAAGCACCCAATTGGTGCTCATTATACTGCTTGGCCTCTCTCCTCCCTGCTAGTCCCCGGGTGTGGTACTGGAGACAGGCAGGGAGGGGAGGAGGAGATAAACAACGCAACATTAAAATTATTCCACGTTTAAGTCACCATGAGGGACAAGCAGATTGGGGCACCAATTTAGTCAATGGACTAATAGAAATCCACATGTGTTAAGAATCACTAACACATAAAATCATTTTAAACTACAATTCCTCTGCTACACAAATGGCATCCCTTCAGGAGCAATATATCAATGGTGAAAATGATTCAGCAGTGTGGCTAAGACTCGGGTTTTGTGGTATTCAACATTACAAACATAATAGCACACAATGTAATAGTTATCCAAAAAAGAAGGACAGTACAAAAACATAGAAAAATGATAGCAGAAGAAAGACTGAGTGGTCTACCCATTTTTTTTTTTTTTATTTAATAAAAGTATCTATATTGGTAAAGAAATTGTACATTTAAATAATAGTATTAATCACAACAGTCAAATACTATACAAGCACATAATTATGAATAATGGTAACAGAAGGAGCAGGGGAACAGATTGTTTAATTTTTACTAGTGTGCATTACGTGGTAAGTATGTCATTTTATAAAGAGCTCCTGGTGAAGTAGCACTTGCCATGGAAAACATGCAGCAGCCCTTTGGCATCCTTTCATGCACTATCAATTGATGTCTAAAACAAAATCTGCGTGCATCTGTTTTAAATTCTCTGCAGTAAACTTCTATATGTGAGCAGTTAAAAAAGCCTCAAGGGCTTTTTAACATCACAAACACCACTGTACTCAACAATCACATTAAAACGGTCTTAACAGCAGTTCAGCTTCTATTGTATGGACATTTGTAAAACACAAAATCAATAATCTTCCTACCTGTGTCTGCAAAGTGGAATTCAGTAGCTCAGCCTTCTGAAGCTGCTTGCAAGCAGAAAGAGTGGCATCCAACTTGACACGGTTGTGTTTGGCATTCGGATCAAACAAATCTACAGCACACAGGTCTTCAATGCTACTCAGTGACAAAAAAAGAAATAAAATTATATTTTTTTTTTATATATATATATATATATATATATATATATATATATATATATATATATAATACATACATACACTTTATTATTCAAAAACAGGCAACTATATGTTTTGGAAGGATGATTATGTACAGTACAATGGAGCACTACACAGCTACACAGTAGGTAGAATAATTCCAACACCACAGGAAGAGAACATCTGGGCAATGAAATACCGATTGCTGTGATACTAGCAATTAAGAATAGTAATGCAGATTCAGTCAGCTCTAAATAAAAAAAGTTTAGTTGTACCCCATTAATACATTTGTTTCAAACATCAGATCACTTCACTGCTACCAACGCGCAACTTTTACTTTTCCGGCAATATAGAAGTATATTTTAAAAATTAACCACGCAACATTGAGAAAGCAAAACAAGAAAGCAAGCCCCAACCATACCATTGCAGTGTTATTTTTTTTTGCAATGCCATCTCCAGGGGTCTTCTGTATGGTGATTTCACCAATGCTCTTAATAAGCGTATGCAAACATCAGGCAGATTCTTCATCACTTGAACATCTGCTGTGTTGAACCCAATACTACACGGATCGCACACAGTGACTGCAGTTAATTCCCACATGTAATCATTTAACAGCTCCTCTTCAAGCATCTATAAAGGGGGAGAAAATACACAATACAATTGCTTTTGACTTTGTATTAAACAAATAATGCCAAATAATAATATATAAATAACAAACTACAGCTCTTGAAAGGAGAAAAACCTATTTTGTTCACACTTCTCATCACTGACCACATTTTCATGACTTTGGGGCTAAACCTTGTCCCACCCCCAAAGCTAAGACCTAACCACCTATAATCCATCTGTCCATTGATAGCGCTCCTTAGTGCCAATAACAATATTTTCATTAGAAAGGGTGTCAGCAAATTAGAGATACTTAAGATCTGGGTCTGGCCCTAAAGTCAGGGATGTCAAGCCCTTAGTTACAAAGAGAAACCAGGATTACAGTGGTACAAAACAAGCTTTTCAGGATAACAGAAGTAATAGCAGGCGCCTTGTGATGCTTAATGTTAGGCAATACTTTAAAAAGATTGAAAATGGTTAACCAGTTCACTCAAAATCAAATTATTTCTACACATCTTGGGAGAAATTCTTACATTAAAAACAATGTTTACCTTCCAGAAGTCCTGGTGGCAATTCTCTAAGATCATGGCTACAAACTCCATAATGCGCACTATAATCGTGCATTTGCTGTAGTTGTACTGTTCCATCTCATGTGGGCTGAACAGATTAGATTTGGAGCCTATTGTGAAGCAGGTTTGTGCCACTTTGATGTCCTTTGTGGAAAGTTGGTGGATGAAGAAATATATTGCTTTGAAAAAGGATGACTTCTGTGAAGTATCTGAATAAATGGAAAAAAGATCATCAACCACTAGAAAGCCTTGTTGCTAAAGCAAGCCACCATGTTGGTGCCCGAGTGCCTACCAGTTGAAGATCAGAAAGAATACTTTCTAGGAGAGTGATTGGGAAGCAGGACTACCTTTGTAAACTGACCCTGGGCCAATAATGTATAGAATCTCCTGCTGAAATAAAGGCAATTAGCACCAGTGAAAGACAGAAGAATCAAGACAGGGATAAAGAAAAGAAATCAAGCTTGGCCTGAGGGTACAGGAGACAAAGGATTTGCCCCAACCAGGCACAAATCTGGAGAAACTCAGAATTGAAAGGAGGGAACATCTAAAAAGGAGGACATCTTCTGCCTAAGGACTTGCATGCAATGGCAAAGTATACAAGAGTGCTAAAATTCTGGTATGAAAAGGCCTAAAGGTTTGCCGTGCCCCTTACTAGTGTCTTCTCTAAAGGATTTAAAGTACTGAGAGTTACTGCCTGCACAAACAGATCTGGTCCACCTATATTTTACAAGGCCAGCAAGCAATCACAGAGGGAATTGCGCACATGGGTAAAGCATGGGCAGTTTTTTAATTTTTTCTACTGTCCATCATCCTAAGGACAGAGCTTATACACAAGAAGATTGCTGTGTCCCCTGCTGTGTCAAAGTAAACCTTTCAAAAGCAAAACATAAGGTCACTTTCTATAAACACATTCTTAACATCCAAGTTACCTCTTTCTAATACTGAGCCCATAGCTTTAGTGTTTACCAAGCAACAAACACAGACTAAATATGTGGAACAAGCAAGTCAGTGAAAAGTGAAAAGTCCTGCTTTGCATACTTGATTTACATGACTGACTGTAAAAAAAAATAAAATAATAATTTAAGGGTCAGCCAAAGAACTATTTTTTTCACAAAAAGAAGCCAGCAAAGCACCTCCAAAGGTTTCTTCACCAAGCCAAAATGAGCACATTCAGAGAAATGAAATAAGATCTGTTAGAACAGAAAAGGTCACTGCGAACCTGCATTGAAAAATGCTTACTCCGGTGTTTAACCACTTGCCATCCTGAGGATTTACCCCCCTTCCTGACCAGGCCTCTTTTTGCTACTCGGCGCTGCACTATTTCAACTGATAATTTGCGCGGTCATGCAATGCTGTACCAAAACAAAATTATTTCCTTTTTTCACACATATAGAGCTTTCTTTCTGTCGTATTTGATCACTTGTGTGCTTTTTATTTTTCGTACTATAAACAAAAAAAGACTGAAAATTTTGAAGAAAAACTGTATTTTTTACTTTCGGCTATAAAAAATATATAGTAATCTCAAAGTTAGTCATAAATTTAGGTCAAAATGTATTCTGCTACATGTTTTTGGTAAAAAAAAATTAAATAAGTGTATATTGATTGCTTTGTGTGAAAGTTATAGCGTCTACAAACTATGGTATAGATACTGCAATTTACACCTTTTTTTTTGCTATACAGCGCTGCACTAGTTTAACTGACAATTGCGCAGTCATGCAATATGGTACATAAATTAATTTACGTCCTTTTTTTCACACAAATAGAGCTTTCTTTTGGTGGTATTTGATCACATGTGCGCTGTTTATTTTTGGCGCTATAAACGAAAAAGTTTAGAAAAAAACATTTTTTTTTTTAAAAAAAAAAAACATTTTCTCATTTTTGTCATAAAAAATATCCAAAAAAACTCAAATTTCGTCATACATTTAGGTCAAAAAGTATTCTACTACATGTTTTTGGTTAAAAAAAAATCCAAATAAGTGTATATTCATTGCTTTGTGTGAAAGTTATAGCATCTACAAACTATGGTATAGATAATGGAATTTACACAGCTTTTACTTTCTGACTGCCCATCACATTTCTTGAGGTGCTAAAATACCAGAATAGTACAAACACCCCCAAATGACCCCTTTTCGGAAAGTAGACACCCTAAGCTATCTGCTGAGAGGCATATTGAGAGACCATGGAAGATTTTTATTTTTTTTCCCCCACAAGTTTTTGGAAAATGACAAAGTTTTTTGTTTTTTTTTTTTACACAAAGTTGTCATTTAGATAATATATTTCTCACACAAGCCATGGTTATATGTGGTTACACCCAAAAATACATTCTGCTACTTCTACCGAGTATGGGGATACCACATGTGTGAGACTTTTTGGAAGCCTAGCCATATACAGGAGCCTGAAATCCAATGACCACTTTGAAAGCCTGAAGGTGCATAATTTCCTCATTTCACTTCCTCACTACCTATCACAGTTTCGTAGACCCTGAAATGCCCGGGGATAGCACCAAACCCCCCCAAATGACCCTTTTTTGGAAAATAGACAGCCCAAGGAATTTAAAAAGAGGCATGGTGAGTATTTTGCACATTTGATTTTTTTCTCAAAAGGTTTTGAAATATAAAAAAAAGAAAAAATATGTTTTTGTTTTCTTTCTTCATTTTCCAAAAAAACTTGTGGCAACAAAACAAGATCTGCAAAATGCTCACCATGCTTCTTATCAAATTCATTGGGGTGTCTACTTTCCAAAGGGGTAATTTGGGGGGGTTTGGTGTATCCTGGCATTTCAGGGCCTCCGAAACTGTGATAGTCAGGAAGTGTAATGAGGAAATAAAGACCTTTAAAAAGCCTGAAGGTGCTTATTGGATTTTGGGGTCCTGTACTTGGCTAGACTGCCAAAAAGTCTCTCACATGTGGTACCCCCATACTCGGGAGAAGTAGCAGAATGTACTTTGGGGAGTAATTCCAAATATACCCATGGCATGTGTGAGCAATAAATCATTTGATAGACAATTTTGTGTAAAAAGTAAAACATTTTTTTTTATTAAATTTTTCAAAAACTTGTGGTAAAAAAATTAATTCTTCTATTGACTCAACATGCCTCTCAGCAAATAGTTTGGGGTGTCTACTTTCTAAAAAGGGGTCGTTTTGGGGGGTGGGGGCATTTTATGCCCAGCATTAGAAGTTTATGCCACACATCATTCATAACCACCCGAAGACCATGCCTTTTCTGACACTTTTTTGTTCCCATGAATAAAAATTGTTATGTTTTGCTAGGAAAGTACTTTGAACCCCCAAACATTATATATTTTTTTAAAGCAGACACCCTAGTGAATAAAATAGTGGGTGCTGCAATTTTTTTTATGTCACATAGTACTCGCACAGCGGTTTTTCAAACGCAGATTGTTTTGCAAAAAATACTCTTTTTTCTACTTTTAAAGCACATAAACACTTCAATGGAAATTGTCAAATATTCTTTTTTGAGAAATCTGGGGTCTTTCGTCTTTCAGACTCTAGATATCTCCTCTGCCCTTACATTATCTAATCTCACCAAGATCAGTGTGATCAGATGCTTTCCCAATTTACAAATGGCACTGATTATATCCTGCAAAACTGAAGTGAATAAATGCTCGTAGCTTCCGATTTCTTAGGCTATGGAAATGATGACATGTTCCACCCTAAAAATGGGGGGGGGGGGGGGACATGCAACATGTTCCCAAAGGTAAATTTATCTTTTAATGTTACCTGAGAGCAAAAAGTACATCAAAGAAACATAAAAATACTTAACACTTAAGAGAGAAAAATTTTCAAGGCTGCTCTTTAAAGACTTAGACTGGGAGGGAAGATTTTCACTGAAGAAACACACAACAGAAATGGGAATGCTTCAAAATGATATAATAAAAACAGTGTGAGCAACTATGCCAAATCCCGGTAACAAATAATAAAACTAGCCAGCAATGGAAAGTATTTCACACCAAAGCGCTGCATTGTTATTTTATTTTGAATGTTTCAAAATGACTGTATGCAAACACACTGCAAAATACATTCCGATAGGCAATACGTTTAAAAGACTAAAGCTTAGGACATACAATCAGAAAATCATATGAAAAATATCACTTTCTAAGTGATTGTACGATAATCTGATTGTTAGCACACAGCTTTCATCTGAAATTATTTGAAGGGACCAGCACAAAAATTTTGAAGGGACCAGCACAAAAATCATACCAGATCGTATGATTTTCGTTTAATCAGTACTGTGTTCTTCTGAAAACAAATACATCACTTCCGAGTTTTCTTTCTGTTGTACAAGAATTTTTGTAACTATAGTAACCTCTTCACTTTCGATATGAGGCTAGCATGCTAAAAAAAAATGGATGATCATTTGTCCAATATTCCCATTGTTTCCAAACGCATGGCAAACCGCACAGAAAATGTACGCTTTGCTTTCAATAACACGTTGCAAATGTGCAATGTGTTTGTGCTGTCATTGCATGTTAACCACTTTACAACCCCGCTATAGCCGAATGACAGCGACAGCGCGGTTGTCCAGTTCTGGGAGGGCGTCATATGGCATGCTCCCAGAACGTACTCCCACATGCCCCCAGCAGTGCGCACCCAGCACTGTCTGTGATCGCGGTGTCCTACGGACACGACAAGGTAAAAGGCCAATCACAGTGGCCTGTTACCACGTAATCAACTGTGTTCAATGACACAGTTAATAACAAAGTAAATACAGTTGCCGGGTATAAGCAGCACTTTCCACACTGTCACAGCGTCAGTAAAGTACTGCCAATAACCGGCAAGTGTCACAGAGGACATCTTCACTGATAATCAGTGAAGCTGCAAAATTGCCCAGCAGTGGCGCCCATCATTGCCATGCAGTATTAGTCGTCAGTGCCGCCAGTCAGTGCCCATCATTGCCGCTTATCAGTGCCCTTCAGTGTTGCATATCATTGCAGCAGCATCAGTGTCTCCTAATCAATTCCCACCAGTGCCATCTCATCTGTGCAGCCTCATCAACACACATCAGTGAAGGAGAAAATTTACCAGTTTGCAAAATTTTATAAAAGAAAACAAGGAAAAACTAATTTCTTTCAAATTTTTTGCTATATGTTCGTTTATAGTGCAAAATAAACCCAGTGGCGATTAAATACCACCAAAAGACAGCTCTATTTGTATGAAAAAAAAATGATAAAAATGTCATATGGGTACAGTGTTGCATGACCGTGTAATTGTCATTCAAAGTGCAACAGCGCTGAAAAGTGAAAATTGGCCTGGACAGGAAGAAGGTAAAGTGCCAGGTAGGCAAGTGGTTAAACGCACCCTAAGTGCGGCAAACGCACCAAAAATTGCGGTATCGCACCGTGTTCCACCCCAAAAAAAGTTCTAGAGCTTCTCTGGGCAATTGTTGCTTGTAGGGCAGCCCTTTCAAGTGAATGGGCTGCCCTATGTGTGAAGAGTGAAAATGCTCCAAAACACCCAAAACAAATGCATGTGGGAAAGTGAGTTTTTGCTACATGGAGGGAGGTGTGAACGGGGACTAACAATTGAGTATCTCCGTCCACTTCCTCATATGTACTTGTATAAAGACGGCCATACACTCTGCAATCTGATTGTACAATCTCTGTACAATTTCACTTAGCTTTATCAGAACTATGGAATAGGAGGGCACAAATGAATAATCTATTCAATTTGTATCAAATTAGACAGGCCCTTGTACTACATAGCTGATGGGAGATCTAAAAGGAGATTGGACAATCAGATTGTGTAAAAAGTGGTTTTGAAGGTAGTACTGTAATGAGGGAGGTGTGATCCAGAGTGGTAAACACACCCTATCAAACCCTCTTCTGTGATGCAACAAGGAAGTGAAGGCTTCTGGAAGATTACCTACAGGAAGTGAATGCTGAGAGACCATCTACAGGAGGTGATGAAATATGAAAATCATTTAAAAAAAAATTAAATAAACAGTGAATATCTTAAACCTCCTGTGGATAAGGTGCATGAGAGAAAAGCACATTTGGATAGCTGGGCCAGAAACTGCATTGGAAAATGCTTCTATTCATTATGAAAAGTGAACTTCTGCCCAAAAAGGTGAACTTATCCTTCAATTGTCAAATATGGAAGGCTTCTTCACAGGAAGAGCTGTGTAAACGTGTAAGCAAATATAAGAGAACTCAATATGATCCTGTTATATTTTTTATAAAAATAATTTATATTAATAGCACGTCTTTGTAGTATTCTATTCCCCTGGTCTAGGGAAGGAGGTGGAAAGCAAAGGTAAGCAAACAAAGCTTGAACACTGCATGGATTTGAAAAAAAAAAATGCTTGCAGATTGGAGTGGAGAGTTCAGAGATTACTTCACCACTGTCTGGTTGGGGTGTGTGTATTGAAAAACAACATAAAAGAAAAATTCCCAAATCTAACTTGCCAGCCAGCATGCAATCAAACCAAATTAACCTGTCTAACAGTATGCTTTAAAAACAGGGGTTTAGTTAGCACACATTTGCAAATACATGCGAAAGCTACAGAGCCTTGTCACGGCACCCCAGTATTCTGTAATTCCTAACTCTCCAATTTTAAGAGCCCCCATAGTAGAGGCACATGTATTTAATGTATTTAATGGATAGACCAAGGGCAGATGGACCTGAGGGAGCCCACCCATCAAAAGGTACAGGAGCACACTGGACACCCAGCATGTAGCACAATGGCAGCTAAGGTGTCCAGTGCGCCCACTCGACCAACAATTCTACAGTACAAAAAAAGCTGGCAAGCAAGTTAGAGCTGGGAATTTTTCCTTTAATGTACTGTGTATTGAAAGCCTGAACTAACAGAATTATTCATTTTTTAGATTAAACAGCCCATATACGTATTTCACCTGTGAATTCAATTGTTTTTCTACACTTTTCACATATACATTATAATTGCCTTTAACTGCTAGTCTACAGGGCACTTATACCCCCTTCCTGCCCAAGCCAATTTCCAGCTTTCAGAGCTGTCGCACTTTGAATGACAATTGCACGGTCATGCAACACTGTACCCATATGAAATTTTTTATCATTTTTTTTTTTGTGACAGATAGAGCTTTATTTTGGTGGTATTTAATCACCTCTGGGTTTTTATCTTTTCTTAAACAAACCAAAAAACAGACAATTTTGAAAAAAAAATGTTTTTTCTTAGTTTTTGTTATAAAATTTTGTAAATAAGTGATTTTCCTCCTTCACTGATGTGCGCTAATGAGGCTGCAGTGATGGGCACTGATAGGTGACACTGATGAGGAGGCACTGGTAGGTGGCACTGATGGGCATTGACAGGCATCACTGAAGGGCACTGAAAGGCAGCACTGATACATGGCACTGATAGGAAGCACTGACTGGCACTGTTAGGCAGCACTGATAGGTGGTACTGATTGACATTAATAGGTGGCACTGACTGGCACTGATGGGTGACACTGAAAGGCAGCTCAGATGGGCAATGATATATGGCATTGATGTGCACTGGTAGGCACTGATATGTGGCACTGACGGACACTGACAGGTGGCGCTGCTGGGGCTACAATGATCATCAGTGCCCTGATGATCAGTGTACATGTCCCCTCCGTGGAAAGCCGATTACCGGCTCTCCTCTCCTCTCGAGTTGTCTGCGTGACAGCTCGAGAGGAGAGAAATGCCGATAACCGGCATTTCCCTATTTACATGTGATCAGCTGTGATTGGACACAGCGCACTGCCGATCGCCGCGCTGCAGGCTCCCTGAGCCCCACATGCACGGTGAGAATGGGAGGACGTCATATGACGTCCTCCCATAACGAGAGAACCACCTTGCGTCTGTCATATTACTATATAGCGGGCGGGAGGTGGTTAAAGAAAGACCATATGAGAACTGTCACATACCAGACAAATACAGAAATAAAAAACAAATAGTATTTCCTTACCTAGCAATGTGTGCGACTTCACAACACGCATGCCGATAAACGTATTGTAGCAGTCCAAAGCTGCAAGTAGCATGTGCATCCACTGAATTACAGCTGTTAGAGTGAATACCTCTTTCAGTTCATGGAGTGTGGCTATGTGCGATATTCCACAATTTCTTACATTCACATTGCCTGCACCTTCAAACCTATCAATCAAGAAACTGACGCCATCTGTCTTAATAATCTCATCCAACCAGGCAGATGCAGATTTCCTTTCTGAAATTCACAAAAATATATCATACATATTAGCATTCAATACTACCAAAATGTTACACAGTTCTACAAGTGTTTATCACTGAATACGCATAAGTGCAAAAAGAGATATACAGCTGCTGTAAAGATTATAGACTGCAGCAAAATGAAAATGTAGATTAAAAAACTGTTTGATGTAAGGTTTAAGATTCAAATAAATTGCACATTTCCTAAGACATGCTATTTAATGCATGTATCAGTGTGACACATTTGATACAGCCATAGACCCTGAGATTCCTCCTGGGAGGATTTCTCCACAGAGGATTCTAGATCTTCACCAGCATCTTCCTGAGGTATTTCCACTGATACCTCATCGTTCTGCGTCCCAGGCATTCCACAGCTGTATGGCACCTCAAGCAGATAAAACATTCCAAACAACTTCCAGCAAACTGAAAAGTGACAGTAAACACTCATGAGAAGCTGCCACAAAGTTCCCCAATAAGAGGCACTCAGCAGTTCAGATGCAGGGCCAGAAGGCCTAGTCTTCAACCAACAGGGCCAGGACATGACTCCCCTCTAGGGGGTCATTGCCCTTGACCTGTATAGCACCCTGCCAGCGAGGTTACCGGGTACACTCTATGCCGGAGATGTCTGTCTGCAGTATCCAGCACAGTCAGACAAATATTACAAACTGTACTTGCTCTTGAATGCTGGGTCTGGGTATGGTCCCTTTTGGCCCAATGGCTGCAGTGACTGATCCAGATAGAGCCCACAAAATTGAGGGCTTAGTGGAGCAGGGAAGGGTTATGTTTGGGTGGAATTCCTGCATTTTTTGGCAAGTGTCCATTCACCTGAAAGTGGCAGCATAACCAAAGTAGAAAATGTAAAGGAAATATGTATTCTATTTTGTATGCTTTGCCTCTGTATTGTACACAGCACTCATTATGTACAGGGCACTAATAGTGTTTTCATTACGTTTGCATTCCTTCAAGTCCTGATTAGAAATTAGCTTGTGTAACACCCCTTGTTACCATAAAAGTACAATTGTAATCTTAATGTGATACCTACATAATCATGTGTATTAAAAAAAACTTAAAATGTTCCAAATAAACAGAAGAGTGATTAGGAAAGATGCGGAGTGTATCTTTTTGTCTCTGTTCCCTACTGCAGTAGTTATTATTAATTTGGAACCACTAATCATTATGAGGATAGGAGTTGCCGATCTATAAAATTTCAGTATTAATGTCCAGCTCAAAAATAATATTTAACTCCTCTGTGTACTGTGATATACAATTAAGAAAAAAAAAAAGTTTTGACTTTACGCATGCTTTAATATGTTAAAATGTTTAAAAAATTTTAGTGATTACATTTACATGTACTTTAATATACAGGCAGCTCAAGAACACATCACATATATTTGCCCCAGCTTTATTTCAATTAGTTTGTGTGGCCTTTTTAATACCTTTAGCAAAAATAAATTAGGACAACAGGTATTTGAAGATCTCTCACTATTTAAATATTACTTTATGAACAATCAGTATATACGTATATAAGCATTCAAAGTAAGATACCTGGTAATAAAGGCACAAATTCAAAGAACAGCTCCATTGCCTTGTGTCTACAATCAGCCTGAGGGCACCCACACTGTTCTAACAGCCACAGGACAATATCCAGGAGACAGAGAGGCTTGCTTGGAGGAAACCCTCTAGGATTAAAAAAAAAAACATGACAAAACATATCCTAAATGCATCATTTATTTTAAATTAATTTGTATTTTATTACTTATCATGACACACTTTGTAAATGAAATGCATTCAATAATTTTTAATAACTAAATCCAATCAGATTAAACGAGCGCTGGTCTTTTCACAAGGATACCTTTTCCACAAGGATACCCATTGTGACCTGACTGAAGTTACTAGCGTGATTCCCCTGGTGGCTAATCCATCCTCGGTGCCGAATACTACCTGATGGTGGTGTGCTGTCTGCCCCCCTGATGACCTGATGTTTTAAGTAACCTGATGCTGATGACCAGGAGTTGGTCCTTAATACTCAAATGCGCATTTATTTGCGCTCTCTGGTGAGTGCAAACTATGGCCTTTTTTTTTTTTATCTTTCATTATCACAGATTTACACTAATCACATATGCACCTGGAAATGCCAATTGGGGATGTTCTTATCACATCTATACTTCACCATATGTTTTAGTGTGTATATTTGCACTTTACCATACGCCATAGTGCGTGTATTGATTTCTGGCACCTTAAACTTTTGCGGATATTATATCTTGTCATTTTATATCAATATCTATTTATGTCACCATAATAGATAAGGTCATTGAACTTGGTCACTTTCATATTTTTTAATTTTGTTATATTGTTATCATATAATTTATATTTTACGATTTTATGTGTTTTATCATACTTTTAGCACTGCATGAGTTTTATTTAATCTTTAATAACTCAATGTGTTAATAATTAAATTCATAAATACAAACACAGTAGTACAACTGAAAATATATTTAACTTAGACTTTTTAAAAAATTATTCAGTGCATGGTTTCAGAATTTTGTTCCCACAAGAATTGAAAAAACACGAGAGGTTAAAAAATTTGTTGTCCACAGTAATATTCAACATCACCCTATGTGTAAAGCATACACATGACTAACTGCACCTTGGTACGCGTCGTTTAGATTCCTTGTTCAGCGATGAAGCTTTGTGAACAATAATACGTTTCACATGGTCAATGGCATCACTACATTGCTGAATAGTTCCTATGATGAGATGAAGAATATAAATGCATGGAAAATTAAAAAAAACAATCAGTATAGAAAGAAAGACTGTCCTGTAGATGAATTTATGCTCACCTAAAGATTTTTCATCTGCATGGGACAGAGCTAGGCTTTCCATATAAATCACTAACACTTCAAACACAAACTGTTCCACCAGCGCTGATTCCTCTCTAAGAGACAAGACAGCTAAGAATTAGGAAAGTAGTAATCACATTCATGAAAACCATTTTAACCAATGATTTAATCCAGGATGAGAGAAACTCAGTGAGACAGTAGATTACTTTGACTTCAAAAATTAATTAAAAGATAAGATGGCCTTTGCTGCAAATGTGCCATGTTCACAAATATGCACACATCTACACCTTGGCAGAAGTACAATACGGCATTTATCTTTATAGCACGGTGAATAAATGGGATATGCTCCTTACAATGTCACTTCTGATGTGTAAATGTATTCTTAAGCATAATATGTCCCAAACAATTTCTAACTAAAATTTTAAATGGCGATTTCAAATTTGGCAGATGCACCCAAAAATGTGTCCCTCTCTGAGAAGATAAAGCACCGTGAAGCTCAGCTATACTGTATACACATGTATTCTAATACAGCTCAGCATATATGCTTGCCACCCTGTACTCTATAAGCAATGTACTGCCCACCTAAATTCTTTGTATATGTTGTTGAATGCTAAAGAAGCTCCTAGCCTCTTGAACACATTTGGATGTAACGCAAGACTGTAAAGCCGTTTAAATAGAGACTGGGTGTTGACGGGGCTTCTTTCTTGCTGCTGTGGCGTTGTCTGTTTTATTGACCACTTCAAAAATTCTCTAATGCATTGCCCAGAGAAGTCTCGTAGAGTGCTATCAACAGGATCCACAATGCCATCCTTAAAGAGAAGAAAAAACATTCAATACACAGATATAGGACATCCTATCATGCATTTCAGGAAATGGAAAAAGCTATTTTAAAAAAAAAAAGGGATAAAGTAACTAAAAAACTATTTAACAAATGCTGCCAAAAAACAAGTGGAAAAGCCATAAACCATATTTATAAATGTTTCAATAGGTGTATTTTTAAATGGTAAATTACAAATATATTAAAGACTCTGGGGACAATTCAATAAAGCATTTGCAACATTTTCTGGTGCTATCAGATACATTAGAAAGTTCTGTAATTAGTTAATGAAAGCCAAACTTGACCTCCTAGGTCCGCCTTCTTTGTGATTGATATTGGACAGCAGTGGATGGATTCCCTTGCTGCTGTACAGCCAGTTAGTGGCTATGGAATCCTGCCACTGCTGTTTACTGTGAATCAGAAGGCAGGCAGACAAATTTAGGAACAAATCCCCCACAGTTCCCCATCAGGTACCCCTCCCATGAGATTGACATCAGACAGTAGTAGGAGGATTCTATACACACTATGGGGATGTATAACAGCTATGTAATCCACCCACCACCATCAGCTGTCAATCAAAATGGAGGTGGACCCAGTGGGAAACTAGCCTCTCAAACTTCTCCATCAGGCTTTGCCCACACAACAAAACTTCTTGGCCTGTGTCACTCCTTTTGTGACAGCTACACTGGCCAAGAAGGGAGCTCAGTGCCTCTTGTGAAAATGTTCAGAGATCCAAAAAGATTCTAGAGTGTATATGACACGCTTTGTGAAATCCACTACGTTTTTCTCAGCACAATGTACAGTTGTGTTGAAAAGTTTGCATACCCTGGCAGAAATCGTGACATTTTGGCATTGATACTGAAAATATGACTGATCATGCCAAAAAAAAACCAAAACTATCTTTTATTGAAGGATATCGATCATATGAAGCCATTTATTATCACATAGTTGTTTGGCTCCTTTTTAAATCATAATAACAGAAATCACCTAAATAATCCTGATCAAAAGTTCACATAACCTGGAAAGTTTGGCCTTGGTACAGACACACAAGGTAACACAAAAGTTAGACTGGCAATCAAAGGTTAATTTCCTACACCTGTGGCTTTTTAAATTGCAATTAGTGTATGTATATAAATAGTCAATGTTTTAGCTCTCACGTGGATGCACTGAGTAGGTTTTTTTATACCGAGCCATGGGGAGCAGAAAAGAGCTGTCAAAAATAACTGCGCAATAAGGTATTGTAACTTTATAAAGGTTGAAAAAGATATACAAAAAAATATCTAAAGCCTTGAATATGCTAGTCAGCATTTTTTAATCACTTATTAGGAAGTTAAAAATTCGGGGATCTCTTGATACTAGGCCAAGGTCAGGAAGACCAAGAAAGATTGCAGACAACTGCCAGCAGAATTGCTCAGGATACAAAGAAAAAACCCACAGCTAACCTCAGGAGAAATACAGGGTGCTCTTGAAAAAGAACGATGTGGTTGTTTCAAGGAGCACAATATGACGATAATTGAACAAAAATGAGCTGCATGGTCGAGTTGCCAGAAGCCTTTACTGTGCCACTGCCACAAAAAAGCCCAATTACAATATGCCCAAAAACATTTTGACAGACCTCAGAGCTTTTGGCACATTGTAATCTGGAGTGACAAAAATATAGCTTTATGGTCATGTTTGGAGAGGGGTCAACAAGGCCTCTAGCGATAAGAATACCATTCCAACTGTAAAGCATGGTGGTGGCTCACCTAAGTTTTGTGGCTGTGTGAGCTCTAAAGGCATGGGGAATCTTATGGAAGTTGATGGCAAAATGAATGCAGCATGTTATAAAAAGACAATTTGCATTCATCTGCACAAAAGCTGCGCATGGGATGCTCTTGGACCTTCCAGTATGACCATAAGCACAAGGCCAAGCTGACCATCCAGTGGTTACAGCAGAAAAAAAGTGAAGGTTCTGGAGAGGCCATCACAGTCATTTGACCTTAATATCATCGAGCCACTCTGGGGAGATATCAAACATGTGGTTCATGCAAGATGACCAAAGATTTGCATGACCTAGAGGTAATTTGCCAAGATGAATGGGCAGCTATACCACCTGCAAGAATTTGAGGAACATTAGACAATTATTGCAAAAGACTGCATGCTGTCATTGATGCTAAAGGCAAATACACAATATTAAGAACGAAGGGTATGCAGACTTGTGAAAAGGGGTCATTTCATTTGTTTACTTGATATTTTTTTTTTTTATGAGTGTGCCATTCTTTTTGACCAGTTGAACATGAATCCCATAAGAAAATGTGTTTTGCCTCCACACTCATGTTTTCTATAAAAATAGTACTGTATATTACCAATTCTCCAAGGGTATGCAAACATTTGAACACAACTGCACAAACAGTTTTACAAAGGTGCGCTCCATCTTGTTAGCTCAGGGACCCTAACACAAGCAAAATCCTATTCATTTTAACAAATAGGAAAAAAATGTCCTGGGAATAGGAGAGCTGGGTCAATTGACCTGTTGATAGTGATGTGATCAAGTGCTCTTCCTATCATGGCATGTGATCTGCAGAGTTACGTAGTGGGCACTCTGAAGGACAGCACAGGCTCATAAAATGCAGTTGCAGTTTTGAGCAAGCACTGCGATGTCTTGTGGAGAGCACTCCTTTTAAATATTCCACTTAATGCAAATAATATTAATGTGTATGTCAATGATTCCCTAACACAAAACCAGTGTGTGCAAAAGCAAGAAAAAAATCTACGTAAGTAATACACGTCTGAATTTAAAAATAACATTTCTTGGTTGCAGATGTTTGCTGCTGGACTAATGCTAGCCATAAACAACTTGAATTTCTGTTGTTTCCTGCTGAATTGGTCAAAAATTGAGCTGTGAGTAACCCTGTTGGCACCGACTGGCTTGACAAACTTCGACGTGAAAATCGAAGTAACTAGGCTGAAAATTTTAAGACAAACAGTGACTGCAGCCAGTCAGATACAATCACTGTTCAGGTATGCTGACAGTCGCAAGAGCAGAGGTTATCAGAATAGACTAGACCAGGGGTCTGCAACTTTTAAGACATAAAGAGCCACTTGGACCCGTTTCCGAAGGGAAAAAAAAAGACTGGGAGCCGCAAAACCATTGCAACATTTAAAACAAATCCGACACTGCATATATTGTTTCTTACCTTAATGCTATATACAGGATCGTGCAGTTAGCTTCATCCCCCATAGTAATTCATCCCCCATAGTAATTCATCCCCCATATAGTAATTCATCCCCCATATAGTAATTCATCCTCCATAGTAATTCATCCCCCATATAGTAATTCATCCTCCATAGTAATTCATCCCCCATATATAGTAATTCATCCCCCATAGTAATTCATCCCCCATAGTAATTAATCCTCCATATAATAATTCATCCCCCCTATAGTAATTAATTCCCCATATTGTCTCAATTCACTTACCTTTGCTCCGCGCGTTCCTCTCGCTGTGTTCCCGCGCTGTGTTCCGGTCTTCAGGGCGGACTGTGAGAGGAGTTCGTCACGCTGCCCCGCCTACACCCTGGCTGCCCCGCCTACATCCTGACAGCTAATGTTCCACGCTCCGCGGGCCGGATTAAAAGAGTCCTGACTTTTGAGGCGGCCGCCCGAGAGGAGGGAGGGGAGCGGGCCCCGGCACACAGAAGAGCCGCATGTGGCTTGCGATCCGCGGCTTGCCGACCACTGAAACCCTATTGCCTGTCACCTGGTGGGCAGTGTGCTCCGGAGCCGCAGCAAAGATGAAAAAGAGCCGCGTGCGGCTCTGGAGCCGCGGGTTGCTGACACCCGGACTAGACAGAAAGGGAGATTCCTTCATCCACACTGTTTAGCAGTGATTTCTCTTATTCATTTTGCAGGACTGAACAGGAGAAATTGGCGCATGTATTGCTAGCTTTAGCAGAATCTCCATCTTATTTGGCTCTCTGATTTATTGTCAACAATAATTCTGCAGACATATTAAATAAAAGATTTAACATGCATCCAGCCACTAGAGAAATAAATATATATTATACATATAGTATACACAAACACATACATGCACAGTCCAAATGAACTGCTTGTTTTTTTTCTAAATATTTGCATGCTCATCAGTCTGATCCTAGGGCGGGTGTCGGCAACCCGCGGCTCCGGAGCCGCATGCGGCTCTTTTTCACCTTTCCTGTGGCTCCGGAGCACACTGCCCACCAGGTGACAGGCAATAGGGTCGGCAAGCCACGGCTCTTTTAATGCAGATCTTCTGTGTGCTGGGCGCCCGCTGGCAAACATTGGCTGTCAGGATGTAGGCGGGGCAGCCCGGATGTAGGCGGGGCAGCGTGCCGAACTCCTCTCCTCTCACAGTCCGCCCTGAAGACCAGAACGGCGCGGGAACCCAGCGAGAGGAACGCGCGGAGCAAAGGTAAGTGAATTCACACAATATGGGGAATGAATTACTATGGGGGATGAATTACTATAGGGGGGGATGAAATTACTATATGGGGGATGAATTACTATAGGGGGGATGAATTACTATAGGGGGGATGAATTACTATGGGGGATGAATTACTATTGAATTACTATATGGGGGATGTATTTTCAGTTTTAAAAATGTTTCTCTCAAAATAAATTTCAATCGTGGTTTTGGCGAAATTTGGCTCAGTCGAAAAAAAAAGGTTGCCCACCACTGACCTAAGGCTATGATTGTGATTATGACGATACACTGTGGCCCTGATTCAACCCTTTGCTTACTGGGCCCTTAAACCCCCTTCATGACCAGAGCGTTTTTTGCAATATATGCAGTGTCGGATTTGTTTTAAATGTTGCAATGGTTTTGCGGCTCCCAGTCTTTTTTTCTCTCTCGGAAACGGGTCCAAGTGGCTCTTTATGTCTTAAAGGTTGCAGACCCCTGTCCTAGGGGAATCAAGCAGGCAAAAATCCAAAGCCTGATACATAAACGGTATAGTTCTTTGTAGACT